GTTTGCCAATCGAATGAGTATTTTCACTTTTAGAATAAGATAATTAGATAATATGCGCTTTAAATAAGACAATACAATTGTTCTTTCTTATTTTAAATGTAAATTGTCTCGTTCCATTGGCAAAATGTCTCACTTTCCTCCTCAATTTAAGAAAAAGGACACTTAAGAAAAATCGACTGATGTAGATTCCAATTTTAAATTCATGAGAAACTAGAATCTTTATTTAGTGACGATATACTGGTGGAGATTCTCAGTCAACCAGGTCTTAGTCGTTCCAATCCACTGGACTTTGTTTCCAAGTTTGAAGACGTTTCGCTTCCCATCCAGGAAGCTTTTTCAATTCAAAATGTCAGAATTAGAAGCTTTAAATAGTTGCCCAAAAAAGCCTTTTTTTGGCTTAGAAAACATGGAAATTGAACCAGCAGAACGGGTCCACCCGTTAGGAATGGGGAGTCGTTTGGGTTCTGTCCTGCAATGCCTCATACCTGTCAATGTTTCTGAAAGGGGGTCGTTAGTGTCATTGTTGGCCTGGCTGAGCAGGCGGGGTGTTTTTGTTCCCTGTATGGGGGTGCGGGTTGAAATGATAGCGGGAAGGAATCAACTCTATTGCTGCATTGTAGGTTTTTTGAGAGTGAAACCTAAGTCCACCCCCTCTGTTTAAGGTTGTTTTTTCTCTCTTTGTATACACAGAGTGTATACAAGATGAAATTTCGCTTTGTACAGCTTTTAGACAGTGAATTAGTAGCAGCTTACCAGTGAAATGAACATTTAAATTTCATAAAGTGCAGCAGTGATCAAATGTAAACAGTGAGGGAGAAAAAAACAGCGCAAAAACCCCCCAACGCATTGATATGGAAGTTCTGAGCATTTCAAGACAAATATATATGTATGTTATCAATTCCTTCATAACCACAAGTTAGTGTTTGCCTGTATAATCGAAAGTATAAATAGAAAATAAAACAACACAAAAGAAATCTAGTATGAAAAAGAATGATCAAAACACATCCTGAACCAGATTCCGATTCAGCTGGAAATATAGATTGAATCTAGCCTCGTGAGACCATCCTGATCTCGCGAGCTTTTAAGGTTTCAGTC